GATTCTTCTTCTTGCTAAATGCAGCTTTTGCCATGGCAATCCTGGATTTAATTTCACTAGTACACCTTCCATCATATGTTAACAAGCTACCCAAATATTTAAAACATTTCACATTCTCCAGTTGTTTTTTTGTTACTGGGGTTGGTTGTCTCGAAATTTTCATTACTTTTGTTTTCTCCACATTCATTTCCATGCCATAGCACCTTCCAATTTCAATTAGTCTATCAATCATGCCCTGTAGCACAGTTTCTTCCTTAGCCATTAACACAAGGTCATCTGCATATTTCACAGTTTGAATAATTTGCCCTCCTAATTTGAAGTCTCCGAGCCCATCCAGAGCTTCCTTGGTAAGGCATTCACTGTACAAGTTGAACAGAATTGGTGATAAACAGCATCCTTGTCGAACTCCTCTTCCAATCTGCACACTTCCTGTCTCCCCTCTGTCCAGTCGTACTCTTACACAGAGGAGCAATTCCTAGCGGTCCCAAGCGGACGACAAAGCGATCAGTGGAGCGAAGCATGGGTCGCTCAGGTTGTGAAGGCATTTGTTTGATTGAGCAGGATTAATTTTTGAACGATGTATGTGACAGATATTTTAAATGTCTCTGTATGTATTTTTGCACATACGCAATTATATTAAGAAGAGTTTATTTGTCGGCGTGAGGTATCAGACTTTGATAGTTTTCTAGAAAGAAATTCGATCATCTTGTGCGGTCTTGCGTGTATAAGTAATCATATTAAAACTGTGAATGTTGTAGTTTAAGGCATCCAAAGTTGTCCTGTACGAAGAAACCCGATTACAGTTGATTATTGAGCATTGCTAATAATAAAAATCTCATCGAGGAACTGTGTTGGGATTTAATTTATTTCAAATTCTCGTAAGATATTATTTAGGTACTATTTTTGTTGTTTCATGTTTGATTATAAGTGTCAAATTGGTCACAGTCATACAAAAGCACTGAATTAGTTATATTATTCTGCTCGTAAATCAGCATATAACCTAATAATATGAAGAGCACACTCCTTTGGGTTATAACGCAGTGTGGTTCGGTAGAAGTCCACTAACGCTTTGGACTTCCACCAACTATGGTGACACAATCCCAGAAGATCGCACTTTTCATAGTCACCGGTGTGAGAAACCCAAAGCCTACATAAGAATGGATTCGCTGAAGGATGACTGGGAAGTATGACAACAGCGAAGGCTGTTAGAACAAATATCGTCCTTGCAGGAAATTATATGCGTCCTGCAGAGTGAAAGATTTCAACACATGTATCTACCGGTAAACCATGAAGATGATAATAACTGGTGCCAAGTAGCAAGAGGAAAGTCAAGAAAAAGTAAAAAAGTGGCTCAGCATTCTTCAGTTTCAACGAGTAACAGATTTAACACACTCAATGAAGTTGCTGATGAGACTGAACAGAGGGAAGAATTAAGTCGCCCAAAGGTGAACGTAAAAATAAAAATAAACTGATATTCTATAGTGATAGTTATGGCCGATATATACCTATGTCACTCAGTAAAACTAATGTGGATATCTCAGTGTATGGTGAAGTGAGGCCTGGTGCTAAGGTGAAAGATGTACTGAAAATCTGTGTAAAAGAATGTGCACTATTGTATAACAACTTTAAAAAGTACACTTTGTGCGCTGACATCTATAAATATTGTGGTTCTCAATATACCAACTAGGCATGATTTAATAAAAGAATCAATAGTAAATAAGGAAAGCAAATTGGGACATGGACAACGTAGAAATGTAAAAGTACTAGACATAAGCACCATAAGCAGAGCCTGTCATACAAGGTATGGACAGCACCTAAACAAAATAGGCAAAGAGCATATATCTCAAGAAATAAGTAAAACAATAGGCAAAACAGAAAAAAATCACTTAAATGTAATTGCTTTAAGCGATTCAAACCAGGGAAACTAATAAAGGATAGTGGATCCATAAGGCTCCAGTCATTAAAAGTATGGAAACCAACTCAAGACAAAAGCTCAAAATAATACATAAAAATGCACAATATCTCAGAAATAAAACTGAACTATTCACAGCATTCCTTCAAAGTACCACCCCAGATATATTGGCAATTTCTGAACATGGTCTTAAAGATGACGAAATTACTCAGTGTATATTAGGATACTCTGTAGCCTCACACTTCAGCAGAAAAGACCAAAAAGTGGTGGGATAGCTATTTACAGTTCTAGGAACACACAACATAAACCTCTGAAATGGGTTACAGAAAAAAGTATAGAAAAAACTTTTGAGGTTACTGGTATAGAACTAACATGTGAAAAGAAAAAATAACAATCATTGCATTATATAGATCACTAAGTGGTGGAATAAACAAATTTTTTATTGTTAGATTTGAGGCGTTCACGGCGGTGACTATGAAGAAAGCAGTCTTCTGGGATTTGGCACCGTGTATATGTGGTGTTAACCGACGTTTCGGAGGAACGTATCGCCTCCATCTTCGGGGTAGAAGAAAAAATATATAAGAATCTGCAAGCACACTACTGCTTTCACTTGTATACTTGCCCTTCCCCCTTCACCCTCTCTGCTCTCACATAGCTGTGTATTTTTCCACAGTCTGCTTTTACCGGTTCTCACGGTCTCTTTGCTTGCAGATTCTTATATATTTTTTCTTGTACCCTGAAGATGGAGGCGATACGTTCCTCCGAAACGTCGGTTAACACCACATATACACGGTGCCAAATCCCAGAAGACTGCTTTCTTCAAATTTTTTATTCATCTAATAGATATTCTGGAGAAACTAATCCATAAAGACCAATACATCATTTTAGTAGGAGACTTAAACATAAACATCCAAGAACGTGGAAGTAGCCACAAAAAATTATTAGATGTTACAAAAGCTTATAATCTGACAATAAATACACCTACGCGATTAACTGAAAGTACGGCTACAATTATACCAAATCATAACTAATATACCGGCTAAATACTATCATACTGAAGTAATAAACAGCCTACTTTCAGATCATTTTGCACAATGTATAACTATTAATATGTATGTACCACAACAAACAAGATGTTACAAAGAGGTCAGCAATATATCAGAAGCCAATATAATAGGTCTATGCTCTTCAATACAAACTGAAACTTGGATGGAAGTGTCCAGGGAAAATGATGTAGAAAAAAAATGGGACTCTTTCTGTAGCATCTTTAACTATTATTTTAATATAGCCTGTCCCGAACTGAGGAGAAATACTACAAGTACTTCAAAACGCCCCTGGATAAAAAAATGCTATAATAGCAAGAACAAAACTAAGGGATTTGTACAACATTTATATGCAAAATTAATTTTCCTGGGGAGTAAAGCGCGGCCGGCGCGTAAGGCCGACAATCTTACCGCCATCTTTGAGCCGACTGTCTAGATAATGTGGGACCCTCAACGTCTCACAACCCTATGGGCCTTCATGGCCTGTTTCAGGGATAGCTTCACTTTATTTTACTTTTACTTATATGCAAAGTAAGACTAATCTCTTTCAGCATATCCTCTTTGTCAGTCTCCATCTTATTCAGCAGAAGTTCCAACATCTGCTGTGAATCCATGTTCTTTTCGCGTGTGTAAGTTCGTAACCATTTCTGACACCAAATGTAACGTGTTTTGTTACTGATGACATCGTTCAGATTGTTAACTGGTTTATTTAACAACCTACAGATCGTAACTACAATTATTTATAACTCTGTTGCGGGGTTTCACACTTTATAACCCTATTCGCAATAATCTCTTCACTCTGCGGGGTTTCACACTTTATAACCCTATTCGCAATAATCTGTTCACTCTATCTTCAGTAGTCTACACGTATTCACAGTACGGGAGCTATATAAGTGTCACTGTCTTACACACTCCCAATTATTACTGTTATCACGAACTATCACTGATTATCACACACGCGTCCCGTTCTTCTTTCCGCGACTACTGCTATACTCCAACTGTGTTGCTCCGGCTCACACACACTAACTCATTCACAGCTGACTAATTCTCGCTTACTGCTCAGCCGGCTTTTATTCCGTTCGCTGTTGCCTGTTGCCCGTGTCAACGGCGGGGTTGCGTGCCATGTCACAGTAGGAAGCGGTGTCACGGTGCGGGGGGGGGGAGTGGAGCGCTGACTCACCCGCCACGTCACCGTGGCCAGAGCTGCCACGTCACTGCTGGTGTGGGATGGGGTGTCCTCCATTGCGCAACATGTCACAATATCATAATATAATCCTGCAGAAATGAACTCCTTCCATCAGTACGTAACGCTCGGTGAACACCGTAAACACCTCCTCACCGCGGTGACGTAGCGGAAGAAAACTGTGTAAGGCAGAGGGCAAGAGAACGAAGAGAACAACACTGCTTAAGGCGTCAGTTGAAGGTAGCCGTCGATCCAAGAAGAAATAAGTAGGTGGCTATAAGATTGGCTGCGATAACCTGTGATAACGCGCGATGACTGTGAGGTAAGTCAGTGAAGACTTATTGTGTGACTTAGACGACTTAGACCACTTAGACTGTGTGTGCTGTAGTGCAGTTGTATTGGGAAAGACTTGTATATCCCCTGCGTTATAAATACGTGAAAACTACTGAAGACAGAGTGAATAGATTATTGAGCAGGGTTTATAAATTGGGTAAACTCGCAGCTGTGTTATAATTAATTGTAGTTACGATTTGTAGGTTGTTAAATAAACCAATTAACAATCCGAACGGCGTCTTCAGTGGCAAAACACGTTACAATATTAATGAAACATGAAGAATATTGAGGTTATGATTTTATTATACATAAGCTTCTGGTGGAATGGTTTTCACCAAAAATAACCGTCTCACCCAGGATATACCTTTTTCGTAACACACACAGTAGGTTAACGTACACTGTGTTTTTACTGTTGCAGAATGCTGAGCGACGAAGAGAAAAAATCCCTTAAAGGGATTCTAGTCCTGCTGTCGCATCAAGAACTTCAATCGTTGTCACAGACGGTGACAAATAATATGATTCTACCTCTTACCACAGAAGGTAAATTAATGTCTGAAGATACTGTTATGTGTAGGGGGTTAGGGGTGATGAAAATATGATTGGATTTGTTAGCACTTCGGTTATGTTTTCTCTCGTAATTACAATTAATACAGTGCTATGACCGATTTAACACATTTTACAGTTCACTGCTGCACATGCACTGGGAGTCTCAGTATCCACTATGAAGTCTTCTTGCCATTTCATCTTCAGTCACTCTGGAACCTTGGAACTAAAAATTCTTTTGGACCTACTCTTCCAGCTTATGACTGTCTTGTAACTATCTTGAACGAATTCTGTTCCGGTTACACAACATTTGTGCAGACTCCTGGTCCCCTTCCTTGCTTGGCCATGGCCTCGACTACATGCAACCAAGCCTGGAACTCATGTTCGGTGGTTTCAATTGCTGAGCGGGTTTCATTAAATGTTGCCTGTACCATAATGTGGGTTAAATCGTAGTCTCTGAGGTAATTGAATCTGATAATTTCAAGGTCTTCCCAGAGTTTCCTTGTCTGTGGTTCAAGGGACATCTCTGTAATTCTTCCTGTGCTTTTTCAATTTTGTCGATCAGTTCCTTATGTAGATTCTGTGTCTTGTGCTTAACATCCTCTAAACTCAAACCAGATGACATTAACTGTCAATTTCATTTCCTCTTGGCCAGATTTGGTTTCTTCAGTTATCTCCTTTAGCTTTATGTATGTCTTAGCTTGGCCGGGCTCCATCTTGACTTCCAACCTTGCCAGCTAATCTTTCATTTCCTATTCATCATCTTTCCTATTGGCGTTCATTTTGGATGGCATGGAGGGCTCAGCTCCATGAAGTTAGTTAATTTGGGACAGGTGTTTAGAAAATTGATTATAAAGATAAATAATAATGGTGATGTAGGGTAAAAGAAAAGTTGCCCATGCCAAATTTCCAAGCCATGAGGGCATGGAACCAGAGGTTTATGTTTAACCCTAGCACCAGGTGGAGGTAAGTGGTTAGCTTCACACACCCCGGAAAATAGTGGTGGCTGTGATGCAAGGCACCAGTCATCATTCCTATGGCCTGTCATTTTACTCCAACTGAGCTCTCCCAGTGCATAGTAATAGTTCGTATTTATGTATTATTGTGTGACCCATACAACTTCAAAGCTTGTTGCCATGTTGTCCACCACATTAGCACTACCGACTGTATGAGTTATTTATAGAAAAAACAAAGCCTAACCTTGGGTGCTTTTTGGATGGAAATTCTAAGATTGGCAGTACTAATGTGGTGTACAGCATGGGGATACATTTTAAAATTGCTTGGATAACCCACTGATATGAAAGTTTCCATAATTTGATATGCATGAAATGTGTAAATGGTGATTAATTAGATTGATTAGCAAAAGACACTTGATACTTATACTTATTGCATAATTGTGCAGTTTACAAAAATGTGTAGAATTTCTCTGAATTCTCATGGTTAATTTGGTATATTACTATTGTTAGATTGTTGGATTTGCAGCTGATATCGCAATGTTTGTTTTATATTGTGAAGATAACTTTGACATTTGGACAACAGAATTAAAATTAAATATGTTTCCTTACAGAAGCCATCGATGCTATTCTTCTGCATTCACCTACTCCCGAATCTCTGCTCCTACGAAAGAGAATATCAAAAAATATTCTCTTTCGGTATCTGCACAGTAAAAAGGTCCCCATAGTCCCAACCGATAAACGGACTATGATCAATAAGATTCTTCAGATGTGGGGCTGTACTGTGCATGATAATGAGGTAAGAACCTCTTTTTTAAAGTTTTATGAATACAGTGGACACAGCTGAATTGATAACAATAACCAGAGAATCAAGACTGCAGGTATTCAGCATTGTTTGTTGATGTCTAGTGGAAATCTGTACATAAAAAGTGGAAGTGAACAGAAAGAAAATGTTAAAATGAAGCAACATACAATACTTCGACTGTGAACTATTTCTTTGAGAAAGTCATCAATAAACATAATTTTTCCCCATTTTCTTAGCAAGTTGTTCTTTTATGCAGCATCAGGGGACCATCAACATGGGCATGTAAATACACAGACTTTGAAGTATACATTGTATGTTCATGCTCTCGTGGTTAAGTTGAATAGCCTGTTCTGAAATGTTATTTTTTTCTTGGACATATCTAGCATAGTTCACTTTATTTATCTTTCAGACATATTTGATATAAAATTTTTCCCGTTCCCAGAGGTTTCTGATGATTGAGTGTGGTGTGTCAGGAATTCCTGAGGGAGTGGTGGTGCAGCACAGTTTTGCAGTTTTTGGCTGCCATTCTTTCCATATGTGTTAGGAACTCCATGAACAGAGCACAGTTTATACATGCACTACTGTTATGACTGTACATACTTGACAGACACTTCACATGCTTGAAGCATTGGCTTCTTTAACTCTCCAGTTACCAGCAATGGCATCTTTTCAGATCCATCCAGATTCGCATATACAAGCACAGTAATTCTGTATTTAATCGTTGTGCACCCTGACAGCTTTAATCTTTGAGCATGTGTTTTGTCTGAGAATAAGCTGAAAAATAACCCACACTGATCTGTATTAAATATATCCTGTGGATGATGTTCACTCAGAAGTGATGGAGTCAGTTTTCTTCGGGCACCTACTTCCTCTTCAATTGAACTTTTTAATACCCTGCTCGTGGTTCTCTAGCAAAGCCTTTCACATTTTCTGAATCAGCCAAGGGATCCAATCAAAGGTGTGAATTCAGTGTTTAGCTTTAAGGCTGTTTTTCAGCCTTTGTTTCAATATTGGACCTTTAATTGGTATATAATGCTTATTTCTGCCAAAAGTAATGATTTAATCATCTTGTGTTTAGAAATGTTTAATTTGTTTCTGTTTAACTTAGCAGTTAGCCATCACTGAATATATTTTTCTTGTTTGCCATTATTTAATGACAACTCTTGTATGCTAAGTTGTCACTCATGGTTGAGCATCCATCTTTCTGATATCTCCAGTTTTTTAGAAACTGGTAACTCTTCACATTTTATGTATGTTTTTTTTAGCCATGCATACTGCTAGACATAATACACAAGTAAGTACTTTGATGTAACCTCATGAAATTTGACACACATCCACTTTACATAACCTTGCACATAGAGACCATATTCTACCAGTTAGATATCGCCACTAACTCTGCCAAATTGTGTCTCTCACCGGGCACTACTGAGTGCTGCTAAGCATTGTGACATGTTTGTTTGTCTTCTTTGTTTCTCATTTGTGTCTGTATACATATTGTCGCGTATCGGGCGTATACNACCAGTTAGATATCGCCACTAACTCTGCCAAATTGTGTCTCTCACCAGGCACTACTGAGTGCTGCTAAGCATTGTGACATGTTTGTTTCTCATTTGTGTCTGTATACATATTGTCGCGTATCGGGCGTATACCGCAACAAATAACTTCACGATGTATTTGATGTAGCGAATTTTATTTCACATCCGCCCTCACAATCACCCAAATTACAGATTTACGATTACTGCTATCTGCAGTATCACAATTAGTACACTCCAAATGCCACAATACAACTGACTGGCTGCTGGCTAACTCGGAACTAACTCGGAGGTAACTCGAGGACTGACTGACTGTCTCAGTACAACTCGGCGACTGTCACAATACAAGTCGACTCGGCGACTGTTATGTTACAACTCGGTGGCTGTCACAANATTTTATGTATGTTTTTTTTAGCCATGCATACTGCTAGACATAATACACAAGTAAGTACTTTGATGTAACCTCATGAAATTTGACACACATCCACTTTACATAACCTTGCACACAGAGACCATATTCTACCAGTTAGATATCGCCACTAACTCTGCCAAATTGTGTCTCTCACCAGGCACTACTGAGTGCTGCTAAGCATTGTGACATGTTTGTTTCTCATTTGTGTCTGTATACATATAATGTAATCTGATGGAACTTGTTAAATTGGTAAAATGATATGTCTCTCTAAAAATTTCTCTTCATAGGCGCTATATATCTTTATGTGAGAAACGTTTTAAATGAGATATAAATACATTCTTACGGTATTACTTTTGGGACTCATTTTCCTTTTTTAATAAGAACTTGTTTCAGATGGGATGATTGTAAGTGGATCCACTGTATGTCTTTTATAATTTTGTGCACAGCAGATGTTTGTGTGTTTACTTTCCTATCATTTATTGTATCCAAAAGTGCACAAAAAATTCAAACTCACTCATGTGGAAGGGCACAAAATTATAAAAGACATATATTTTATAATTTTGTGCACAGCAAATGTTTGTGTGTTTACTTTCCAATCATTTATTGTATCCAAAGGACACTATGTGGATATGATAGTAGCGCTATCTACAGAACTCTCCAGCTATATCTCTCCACACACACTTGTTGAAATGTATTATTAATCAAAATATGCTGTATTGTTCTTTGTATTCAGATATTTATTTACCTCATTTTCTCTGGTAATTTTAGATTGTTTAATATTTTTTAATGTAATAAGTGCCCTTCCACATGAGTGAGTTTGAATTTTTTGTGCACTCAGAATTATAAATCCCCCCCGATTATTTGTTAATCACAATCCAAAGAACTCTGCTGGATATATTATAAACACTTTTCTTCTTCAATTCATTGATCAAAGTAGGGCTCCAGCTGTGGATGATGCCAGTTTTTATCAGAATGGACCAGGCATCATGTCATTTACTTGTGAACCTGTGCTAGAGTGCATTTTCTTCCTGATTGGCTGTGTATGTGGAAGCAGGCATGCCACAAGTCTCAGCACCGATAATGATGTTGTACCTTTTTTCTGTGTATTACGCTGTATTTCATAATGACTTTTTTAATTTTTCAGTCAACACCAGTACCAGTGCCTGAGCAGGAGTCCGAACCAAAATCTGACATGAAAGTGTGTGAGGTTGATGAGCTGGCTCGTCAATTTACACATTGGTTTTATTCAATGCTGAACCAGCATGATGTGTACCATCAGGACACACAGCTAGGAGTTGAGCATTTCTGGAAAGACTGTAATATGCAGTTGGTTTTAAATTCCGAAATGGGTTGTTCTAAAACTGAAGTGCAAAGAAGTGCAGCTGATGTTGTGCAACTAATCTGTGCTACTAGAACCCAGCATAACTTATATTTCAATCCAAATTTGTCACATGAAGGTGTCCAAGGGAAGACTGAACATCATGGTTTAGTGATGGTTCTGGCATGTGGCACACTCCATCAGCAGGACAGATGTGTTGGAATATTTGAACAGTTGTTTGGTCTTATAAGGGATCCCTTGGCTTGTAACAACTGGAAAATTAAATATACAGAACTAAACCTGACAAGTAATAGTGCTGTTACCAGTTTACCTACTCTGGCTGAAGGAAGTCTTTTAAAGAGTATACCATCTGTGCCTAATTCCATTCAGTCAGCGTAGCATTAATACTTAAAACTCTGATATGTTGTTTACATGAATTGTTCTGTAATGTTATAGAAACTTGATGATGCTAACACTAGGAACTCTAATAAATTTATAGTATCATAGATGATTTCGTAGGCAGAGCCATGACTGATTTCCAGATGATTTTCCATTAGATCAATAGTCACTTGCCTCTCTAACAGACATGAAGCATGAAGACTCTGATACTTTGTTTACATGAATTCTTGTGTAATGTCATAGAAATTTTACTTTCCTTTGCCAAATTTATAGTATCATTTAGTTCCACTTCAAATGCATGCATGAAACATGGTCCTGCACACTTCTCTGAACTATAGATGTTCTCAGTTCCACACTGTACATTACAGATATGTTATCTCCATAGGAAAATGAGTATTATGCACCAGCAGTCAGGGGGAACACAAAATTCCCTTTAGGGCTTTATATGGGCCTTCTTTCAGCAAGACAGGAGGAGAATGACCACTAATCATGCACCAGTTTCAAACAAAACTTTAACTTTAATCACAATCCAATCACCACTTAATTACAATTTTCTAGACCCACCTCCAGCTATTGCCAAGGTCAAGAAAATGTGGATCTATACATCCACTCCCCCATACACTTTCATGGCATAGTGCTTAATTAGTTAAGCACAGGGACAACTTTCCCCCCCCCCCCCCCTAGACACTATCAGTCCTCTATAGGCTGATTTTCTAGAGTAACAAGGATTACAATCTCTTTATACTGATATTGGAAGAGCGACACTTTTTTGTGTCTGGTGAGTCCAGAGGTTAGTTACTGACTTCCTTGTTCTTTAAAATGCTACCATGACATAATTAGCAGCTAGCTCTAGTTCTGATTGGCTCTTAATCCTCAGAAAATCCCCAGGATGAGAGCACCAGCCAGTCAAACAAATATTAATGCTGCATTATATCACCTAAACCTTCCAGAATATTATGCTCGTATATTGCATCGTGGCTACTGGACAGAGAAGACACTGATCATCCTAAACTTTCCTAGTGAATTTAATAGGCTCAGCAAAGGGTTTATAAGAATTCCACAATACAAGTTTGTGAACTTTCATGCTGCCAGTGTAATGCAGCTGTTTATTAATTACATCTACTAGTACATGTTAATGTTGCATACTTTTAATGGGTGTGAGTGACAAGAACTGGCATAGAACCAACTATGATGTGATTTAATTTGTTTCAGGATACACCTAGTCACATGTACATGATGCTTTGTACCTTCTAACCTACTCATAAGTCATTTGTTCTGATCAGTAGGTGAGATGGTTATGAAGCTTTCTTGGCTTATAAACATTGTTATTAAAATCTCTATGTAAATATTAAAGTTATTTTGAACAACACAAATGGATTTATAACCTGGTTGTGTAAATAAAAAATTAAATGTCAATGAAACAACATTTTGATCTCTTAAGCCCTTGTTCACTGCTCTTCAGCATATATCTTTGCTCAGTGTAAAGTCATTTTTAAAATAATGAAGTATGTACTGCAATATGCATGATTTAGCTAGAGTACTTACATCATTTCTCCTAGTAAATAGGAATTAAGTGTTTGTATTTGATACATCTAAAAGGTAAGGATGAAACATGCAGGAACTCTAATGTACAGTTTCTCGAGTCCACACTGCTGACAGATTTCACTGAGTAGGAAGATTAAATTTGTAGTCCATTCATGGGCTACAGAGATTATTAGTCGAACCACTTGCTTCTTCAGGTATTGCCTGTGAATATCTGAAACAGGATTACAAATAATTTACCAACAGATTAATTATTTCACAGTTATCTAAAAAAAAACTGGCATGTAAGACAGCCCCTGAATTTTCAATTAATTTAAGTTCGAACCTATGTTTGCCAGGTAAGATAACTATAAAATTGTTGCTTTTAAACTAAAATTAATTCAAATCCTGCAAAATTATTGTCGTGAACCTTTGATATAAGAAGTTCGTAAGTACACCATGAGATACACTAATATCGACCGTAATTTCCGAGAAATTTTTATATTCTATCTCAACACCAGGTTGTTCCTTTCCATAAAATGAGTAGAGCATGATGCAGTTCCCTTGAGTCATTTGCTCAAACCTTAGCTTGATTTAGCTCACATGAGTGCAAAAATACATACTGCATTTCCTGTTACCATGCGCCTATTCTAAGGATTTCCAGTAAACATATCTGCTATATGTTCCTCAAGCTCTGACCACTGGGTGATGCATCTCCTATCTGTACATACGAGGGTTGGAACTTTAATAGTGGCAACTATTTATTTACAACTGATACAATATAGATGCATGTTTCGAAGTTTTACTGCCCTTCAATGTAGTCACCAGCATTGTGTACAACCCGTTGCCAGCGATGTGGAAGTCGTAGGATACCTTTAGCAGCGTCTGTTGTGTTGACAGTTCAAATGGAGTGGTCTGCTGCCTGAAAAATCTCTGGAACAGTTCTGAAGCGAATGCCACGAAGTGGTTCCTTCATCTTAGGAATGAAGTCGAAGTCACAAGGGCTAAAGTCCGGGGAGTATGGTGGATGGTACAGCACTTCCCAGCCCCATCGATCAAACAAATCAGCCACAGCCTCCTATTTCTGCATTTTCTGTCAAATCATGCGGATCCCATCGTGATGCAATTTTTCTCATGCCCACGCATTCCTTCAGAATGTGAAGCACAGTCATATGCGCTAATCCTGTCTCTCAGGCTAGCTCACGAATCGTATGGCGTCGATCACTCTCCAGTAACACAAAAGAGCATACACTTCTTCTTCACTGACACTAGGACGACCTGGCTGACACATGTCTGCCACATTTTGGTGTCTGTCGTTGAAGGCTTTTACCCACTTTGCCACTGTTCTGTAAGGCAATGCGGATTCCCCGCAAGCCTCTTGAAGACCTTGATGACACCGTCGTACTGTACGGCCTCTGGCACATTTAATCTTTATCCAACTCCGTTGTTCCTGTTTCAAAAACACTGTGACAACACTACATTAAGACAGCCAGCTAACACGAGGCTCTGTTCTTGTCACTGCACATGTGTGTGATATGGGAAGGGAGAGTCCATTTGCTTTGAGATAAAGTAGATATGTAACTAACGTGTGGTATAAGCGACATTATTTGGTTCCGTTGCATGGCGTCTCTACAACAGTGTTGCCACTATTAAAGTTACATTCCTCGTATATATTTAGACATACTCTTTAATGAATCTTCATTCTTAGTCCAGTCTTGTGAGATCTTTTATGTTACATCAAATTCCCAGGTAGTAGCACAGTTATTGAATGGTGTGGCAAATTCAAATACTTCAGCTTTAAACAAACTTCATATTCCTTTTCATAGCAGGTTGGTGATGATGGTAATGCTGCTAGCCTTCAGAAATGATAACCCAGTATAGAAGAACAATGGCAGCTGTGTCACAGCTCAGGTGGTTTCTCACTGGCTTCCCAGTGCAGTGGCCTAAGTCTGGTCATGGGAATTTGTACTGGACTGGGTTTTTTCAGAGTACTTTTAGTCTCCCCTGCTACTTCTCATTCCAACACCTGCTCCACGTTTTATAATCACCTTGTGATACATGCTGTGTAGTTTTGATACTGGCACTGTTGTTAAATAGCCAAGTAAAAAAAAAAAAGAGTGCTGACCTGAGACTGGGGCTTGTTATGAACAATCACAGAACATCATTTATCCTATTAACACCCATACAGGTAGTTGTCTGGTTTGCCACTTGGCTCTGGTGTTTGTATACATTACACCAGCTGTTGTAAGTGGCAAGTGGTGTTGAGTTGATCCTGATGACTTTGCAGCTATGGTAACTGTAGTCATTTATTCCCATTACACTTTATTTCATTAGTCTCTTTGTTAATTATATATACCAAACATGAGCTTCAGTTATAAACAATTATTGTGGGAGTTAACTGATGCCTAGCAATTGTTAAACATCAAATATCATTTAAAGATTTAAGGTTCATATTTTATGCACTCTGCACAAGATGACCCTTAGTTTTGGGGTACTCTTTTTAAGCTTAAAGGGCCATCTTAATATGCTAGCATGTATAGTAGTATCACATCACATTTACTATGGTTCTTTTGGGTATTAGAAAATACAGTATGGTCTGGAAGTATTTATATGATGCCTATTTAAATGCTTTGGTCATTAAAGTGAGATGAGCAACAGCTTGACAATACAGATTTCAATTAGCGGAATGTTGCTAAGGAAATTAGGCTAAAAGTAGCATTTCCCTGTTATACATATCATAATGGTGAAAGATGTTTACAGTATACTTACCCTGTATGATGAACATTTTCATAATGTGGCATTTCATGTTCATCTTCTGGAGTGACAGTGACTGCTGGTGTTCGACGTCGGAATTTCAGGGCTGCTTTAATTGTTGATCGCCGCTTCAGTACAAGCTGTACATGCAAAGGGTTATAGTGTAAGATATTTAAAATAAAGTACAAAATGACTGCTTTGAATCTGTAGTTCTGAAAGCAGTGTCTATGAAGTGTACTGTCTTCTCAAAATGAGATACTATGTAGTTTGATAGATGTTCAACATTCTTCCAAAATGGTAACCTGAACTACTGAATTACATGGCATCACATCATTTGAAACTATGTGGATCTTTACAAAATTCCAATATAAACTCCATATGAATATCATGTGGTAAAATTAACATACAACTGTCAGGCTGTACAGGACCTTGATAGTAAAATTGGGGACAAAACTGCTGCATTACTAATATGCAGTTTATACATAAAAAATTCTGCAAAGATAACTGGTTGCACAGGGGCCCTATCATCAAGGTCCAGAAAATTGTGTGAATAAAATAACACTGATGCAGACATATCTGTGACTTGAAGGTAAGTAACTTAAGCTATCCCTGTACCAGGCCATGAAGGCCCATAGGGTTGTGAGATGTGAGGGTCCCACATTATCTAGATAATCAGCTCATAGATGGCAGTAAGGTTGTCAGCCTTAAGCGCCGGCTGCACTTTACTCCCCAGGAAAATTATTTAATTAATTCCTGGTACTCATTTCTGTTAGAGGCTGAGTCGACCCCAGGGCCATAGAGAGGCTGGAAGACTTAGGTCAATTGAAAAAAAATCCAATGACCTCATCAAGACTTGAACTCACGACCTTCCGGCTTGTAGCACAGTGCCTCAACCAACTATGCTACCAAGTGCCCCCATGACTTGAAGGTTCAAATATGTTTATGAAATGTTAATATATGAACCTTGTGATTTGAAGGTTCAAATATTAACATTTCATAAACAGGATCCTATAGTACTACAATTTAAAAATCAACTTTACTGTTGTCACTAACATAACATTCCTTTCAAAGTAAGTTTTTTTTTACAAGAAACACTTTTTCACATCATTCAAAACCTAGCCCTAATCTGTTATGCAATACTGAAGTGCAAGGTTGTATATAGTTTCTGATTTTGCATTCCACTTTTTTGCCGATTGGCCATACAACAAAATTTCTGCCGCATCACACATTTAGGACAACCACCCACCAAACTCAAGATTGCTCAAGATCATTCAAGATCAACCATAAGGCAAACATGTGCATAGCAACAGTTAGTTAACACCCATAACCTGGAATTAATCTGAGACAACCACATAATAAATGCTGAAAAGCATTACAGTGAGCAGCAGATTCCTTTATCACGACAACCTGTACATCTGATAATGACCAGTTAGGCCAAAACTTGTAGTGACAATAGAGAGAAAATGATAGAATATCAACCGACGTTGCACACAGATGGCATAAAAGCAAAATATGAAGTCATTTCTACACAGTGCAATGGGATACTGCAATGAAATAGTATGAATGTACTTTGTTAAACTGAAAATACCGAAGCAATATGAGCACAATACCAACTAAATTCACTATACCAGAGACATGTTTGATTTGTTAAAGTTGTTCCCAAATATTTTAACTGTGTCACATTTCCAAGA